GGAGCCTGGAGCCTGCTTCGGATTCTGTGTCTCCCTCTCTCTCTGCCCCTCCCCTGCTCATACTTGGTCTCTCTCAAAAATAAATCTCAAAAAAAAAAAAAATTTCTTTTTTTAAACTTTTGGTCTTTGAGAGCAAAGCAGCTGCTTGTACATGGATTTGAATTTCTGTTGGCGTCTCCTTTAACCCGGACTGGATTGGTATCTTTAAGGAGTCTGCCCGTCGCTCCCCGAGGATGTTACTGGGTCCCTGCTCACGTGGGAAACCGTGTTCCTAAGATCTCCGTGTCTCTTGTGTTGCAGGTGTTCTCTGCCGCCCGCCATGCTTTCCAGGTAGGAGACGCACGTCGTCCTGGGAGGTGCGTCTCCGCAGCCGGGAAGCCAAGGCCCCGTCGGAAAATGGAGAGATAAGACGGCGTCTGGCAGGCCTGTGCGACAGAAAGCCGTGCCCGCCCCTGCCGGGGAGCCCCTGTCGCGGAGATGGATCGCAGCCGAGAGGCCGAGGTGGAGCTGAGGAGGGGCTCGAGCCCCGGCAGGGCCAGCAGGAGCCCCGAAGTGGACGGGGACAAGGCCATGAGCCACAGCTGCTGCATCTGTGGCAAAAGCTTCCCCTTCCAGAGCTCCCTCTCACAGCACATGCGCAAGCACACGGGGGAGAAGCCCTACAAGTGTCCCTACTGTGACCACAGGGCCTCGCAGAAGGGCAACCTGAAGATCCACATTCGCAGCCACCGCACAGGCACGCTGGTCCAGGGCCACGAGCCGGAGGCTGGCGAGCTGCGGGTGTCTGAGGGCCTGGATGGGTGCACCAGCCCCACGAAGAGCACCTCCGCCTGCAACAGGATCCTGAACGGGGCCACCCAGGTGGACAACAGCAAGATCCTGCTGAGGAGCAGCAAGAAGGAGGCCGAGGGCGCCGCGGGCGCCCCGGGGGAGGGCCAGGCCGCAGCCCAGTGCTCCTTCTGCAAGTGCAAGTTTGAGCACAGGAAGGACCTGGAGAACCACGTGCACCAGGCTCACAAGCCCTTCCGGTGCCGGCTGTGCAGCTACGTGACCCTCCGGGAGGAGTCCCTGCTGAGCCACATCGAGAAGGACCACATCACCGCGCAGGTGCCCAGCGGTGCCGAGGCGGACGCAGAGCACGGCAAGCCCGAGCTGACCCCCGGGGAGTTCCCCTGCGAGGTGTGCGGCCAGGCCTTCAGCCAGACCTGGTTCCTGAAGGCTCACATGAAGAAGCACAGAGGCTCCTTCGACCACGGCTGCCACATCTGTGGCCGGAGATTCAAAGAGCCGTGGTTCCTCAAGAACCACATGAAGGCGCACGGCCCCAAGACGGGGAGCAAGAACAAGCCCAGGAGCGAGCTGGACCCCGTCGCCACCATCAACAACGTGGTGCAGGAGGAGATGATCGTGGCTGGCCTGTCCCTCTACGAAGTCTGCACCAAGTGCGGGAACCTGTTTACAAACCTGGACAGCTTGAACGCTCACAACGCCATCCACCGCCGGGTGGAGGCCGGTCGGACGCGGGCTCCGGCCGGGGACAGCGCCGTGGTGCAGGGCGGCCCCCCGGACTCCCAGCAGCTCTTCCTTCAGTGCCTGAACCTGCGGCCCACGGTGGCCGGCGCGCCCGCCCGCGGGCAGGCCGGGCGGCGCGTGGCCGAGCTGGACCCGGTCAACAGCTACCAGGCCTGGCAGCTGGCCACCCGGGGCAAGGTGGCC